ACCCAGATCCCCACCAATGTTTCCTTTGTGTTATTTCTAACTGCTCCATCAGTGATAATTGCAGCTGACATGTTACCAAGAAACTGTTACTATTTTCCAGAGAGGGCTTCTCTAACAAGTCAAAGATGTTTAGGTAGGAAGACAGACCTGAATCATCAGAGTCTGCAAACAGAGAATTTCTTAGACTTGAGAGAATCTCTTACCATGGTCATTCCAGGCACAGTGAATTAAAAAAGGTATCCATTGTCAGTGTAAGGCTTAGGTGTAATTAGCAACTTGCACATTATACTTTTTAGGTTTCTTGATGCCTTACACATTGGAGGATGGAGCCTCCTATCATAGTCTATTACTTTCTGAGGCAGTTATCTCTGCCACTTGAAGATGAGTGACAACTGAAGGAAAATAACAGTCAGGTGAAATCCTTGCTCAATTTTGTCTGTAGAGCAGTCACAGAAGTAGAATTTGCTCATGGAGATAGAAGGTGGACTGGTGGTTGCCAGGGGCTGGGGGAGGAAGAATGGGAAGGAACTGCTTAATGGACATAGGGTTGTGGGGTGGTGATGTTTGGGAGCTGGGTACCAGGTATAGTTGTACAACATTGTGAATGGAATAGATGCCGCTGAAGTGTACAATGTAAAATGGATTTAAAAAGTGAATTGTATATAAGTATATACTAGAACAGAATGAAACATACAATTCACTGTGTGCTGGTGAACTTAGTGCTGGGCTATTGCTCTAGGTGAGGGGCCTTAATATATGAGTTACAGATTCTCTGTGGATGTGATCACCTTATGCTAATTACTGGGCAGGTCCATGTAACATATCCCAGAGTTGCTAGGCAAACCTTAAAAACTCACTGCACTTTAGTCATCTTGACTCTCAGTGGAAAATAAAGTTAAATATTTTAAAAGACATAGATGCCAGACTATTTTATATTAAAAACAGCTAATGGGTAGGCAACCTATGAAATGGCAAAATACAATTACATACCATAAATCTGATAAGAGGTTAATATCCAAAATATGTCAAAAAGCCCTGCAACTCAAAAACAAAACAAAAAGATAACCTGACTGGAAAATGAGCAAAGGGCTTGATTCCTCCAAAGAGGATGTACAAACGGCCAGTAAGCACAAGAAAAGACATTCAACATCACTGGTCATTGGGGAAATGCAGATCAGGACCACAGTGAGACAGCACCTCACAGCCATCAGGAGAGCTATGACCAAAAAACAGAAAATAACAAATGTTGTCAAGGATGTGGAGAAATTGGAACGCTTGTGCACTCTCAGTGGGAATGTGAAATTGTGCAGCTGCTAAGGAATATGCAATGGTATTTCCTCAAACAAAGAATAAAATCCTATGATCCAGCATCATTTCCACTTCTGCATATATACCCAAAATCATTGAATACCGAGCTTCAGGAACCTTGGTTCACAGCAGCATTATTCGCAGTAGCTAAGACATGGAAGCAACCTGTCATGTCCATTGATGGATGAGTGGATGAACAAAATGTCATGTACACATAACAGTGGGATTATTCGGCTTAAAGGGGAAAGAAATTCTGATACACGACACCAAGGATGAACCTTGAAGGCATTATGCGAAGTGAAAGAAGCTAGTCAGAAAAAGATAAATAACGTATGGTTCAACTTCTATGAGGTACTTAGAGCAGGTAAAATCCTTAATACCTTTCATAAACTAAGAGAATTTGCTGGTCTCAATCTTAATTTTTTTGTGACTATGGGTTAAAGATTAGACTAGCTGTATTGTGTTTAGCTATAAAAGACCATATTTGTAGAGAGGGATTGTTACACTGGATTATTTGGGCAAAAACTAGTAAACAAGTAAACTTGTTAAGTAGACGGTGGAACTGCTAGTTTCTACCCTTTTATCCTGTTACTGTAAAGAACTTAGCTAACAAACATGGTTATATTTCAGTACTAGGAATGAATTTCAAGGGTCAGGTATCCATAAGGTATAAACTGCCTTTGGGAAAGAAAAAAATTATGTAGGGGCAGAGAGAGAATGCTGCTAGAGCTTAGAAAGTGACTAGAATTCTGGAGGGGAGTGTCATTCTGGATTCTCCATTGTTTACCTACCATCATGAGATAGTTTATTTCCTCTTGAAGGGTGGTATTTTCTGGTTTGTGTTTCACAAATATGAATTATGTCCAAGGGCAGAAATGGAGTAAAAATATGGAAATAATTGTGGGTATTGATGTTAACATTTTTTCTAATCTGTATGTTGTTTCTTAAAAACTATTGCAGTAAAGACGGGTAAATTTTACCATTAGTGACATTTAGTGCATTCATAGGATTGCGTGACCATCACCCCTCTCTGGCCCCAGAACATTTCCATCAACCCAAAGGCAAGCCCTGTGCCCATGAAACAGCTGAAGTTCTTTCTTTATTTTATTTTATTATTATTATTTTTGGTATGGTTAATATACAATCACTTGAACAACATTATGGTCAGTAGACACTCCCCATTATCAAGTCCCCCCCACATACGGCATTACAGTCACAGTCCATCCTCCCCAGTCCCTTTCCCTTTGGTAGCTGTCAGTCCATTACTGGGTTCTGTAAGTCTGCTGTTTTGTTCCTTCAGTTTTTTCTTTATTCTTATACTCCACAGGTGAGTGAAATCATTTGGTACTTGTCTTTCTCCGCCTGGCTTATTTCACTGAGCATAATACCCTCTAGCTCCATCCATGTTGTTGCAAATGGTAGGATTTGTTTTCTTCTTATGGCTGAATAATATTCCATTGTATATATGTACCACATCTTCTTTATCCATTCATCTACTCATGGACACTTAGATTGCTTCCATTTCTTGGCTATTGTAAATAGTGCTGCAATAAACATAGGGGTGCATTTGTCTTTCTCAAACTGGGCTGCTGCATTCTTAGGGTAAATTCCTAGGAGTGGAATTCCTGGGTCAAGTGATATTTCTATTTTGAGTTTTTTGAGGAACCTCCATACTGCTTTCCACAATGGTTGAACTAATTTACATTCACACCAGCAGTGTAGGAGGGTTCCACTTTCTCCACAACCTCACCAACATTTGTTGTTGTTTGTCTTTTGGATGGTGGCCATCCTTAGTGGTGTGAGGTGATATCTCATTATGGTTTTAATTTGCATTTCTCTGATGATTAGGGATGTGCAGCATCTTTTCATGTTTATGTTGGCCATCTGAATTTCTTCTTTGGAGAACTGTCTGTTCATATCATGTGCCCATTTTTTAATTGGATTATTTGCTCTTTGTTTGTTGAGGTGCATGAGCTCTTTATATATTTTGGATGTCATCCCCTTATCGGATCTGTCATTTATGAATATATTCTCCCATACTGTAGGATGCCTTTTTGTTCTATTGGTGGTGTCCTTTGCTGTACAGAAGCTTTACAGCTTGATATAGTTCCACTTGTTCATTTTTGCTTTAGTTTCCCTTGCCCAGGGAGATATGTTCATGAAGAAGTTGATCATGTTTATATCCAAGAGATTTTTGCCCATGTTTTTTTCCTAGAGTATTATGGTTTCAAGACTTACATTCAGGTCTTTGACCCATTTTGAAGTGTATGGGGTTAGACAATGATCCAGTTTCATTCTCTTACATGTAGCTGTCCAATTTTGCCAACTCCAGCTGTTGTAGAGGCTGTCATTTCCCCATTGTATGTCCATGGCTCCTTTATCATATATTAATTGACCATATATGTTTGGGTTAATATATGGACTCTCTATTCTGTTCCACTGGTCTGTGGGTCTGTTCTTGTGCCAGTACCAAATTATCTTGATTACTGTGGCTTTGTAGTAGAGCTTGAAGTAATCTGGATACCTTTTATTTCTTTGTGTTGTCTGATTGTCATGGCTAGGACCTCCAGAACTATGTTGAATAAAAGTGAGGAGAGTGGGTGTGCTTATCTTGTTCCTGATATTAAAGGAAGAGCTTTCAGCTTCTCGCTGTTAAGTATAATGTTGGCTGTGGGTTTGTCATATATGGCCTTTATTATTTTGAGGTACTTGCCCTCTATACCCATTTTGTTGAGTTTTTATCATGAATGGATGTCGAATTTTGTCAAATGTTTTTTCAGCAGCTATGGAGACGATCTTGTGGTTTTTGTCCTGTTTGTTGATGTAGTGGATGATGTTGATGGAAGTTTTCGAATGTTGTACCATCCTTGCATCCCTGGGATGAATCCCACTTGATCCTGATGATCTTTTTGATGTGTTTTTGAATTCAGTTTGCTAATATTTTGTTGAGTATTTTTGCATCTATGTTCGTCAGAAATATTGGTCTGTAATTTTCTTTTTTTGTGGTGTCTTTGCCTGGTTTTGGTATTAAGAGTGATGTTGGCCTCATAGAATGAGTTTGGGAGTATTCCCTCCTCTTCTACTTTTTGAAAAACTAAGGAGGTTGGGTATTAGATCTTCACTAAATGTTTGATAACTTTCAGCGGTAAAGCCATCTGGTACAGGGGTTTTGTTCTTACATAGTTTTTTGATTACTGATTCAATTTCATTGCTGGTAAATGGTCTGTTCAGATTTTCTGTTTCTTTCTGGGTCAGCCTTGGAAGGTTGTATTTTTCTAGAAAGCTGTCCATTTCCTCTAGCTTATCCAGTTTGTTAGTATATAATTTTTCATAGTATTCTCTAATAATTCTTTGTATTTCTGTGGTGTCCGTAGTGATTTTTCCTCTCTAATTTCTGATTCTGTTTATGTGTCTAGACCCTCTTTTTTTCTTGATAAGTCTGCCTAGGGGTTTATCTATTTTGTTTATTTTCTCGAAGAACCAGCTCCTGCTTTCATCGATTCTTTCTTTTGTTTTATTCTTCTCAATTTTATTTAATTCTGCTCTAATCTTTATTATATCCCTCCTTCTACTGACTTTGGGCCTCATTTGTTCTTCTCTTTTTAGTTTCATTAATTGTCAGTTTAGACTGTTCATATGAGATTCTTCTTTCCTGAGGTAGGCCTGTATTGCAATATGCTTTCCTCTTAGCACAGCCTTGGCTGCATCCCACAGATTTTGTGGTGTTGAATCATTGTTGTCCTTTGTCTCCCTATATTGCTTGAGCTCTGTTTTTATTTGGTTATTGATCCATTGGTTATTTAGGAGCATGTTGTGAAGCCTCCATGTGTTTGTGGGATTTTTCATTTTCTTTGCCTAATTTATTTCTAGTTTCATACCTTTCTGGTCGAACAAACTGGTTAGTACAATTTCAATCTTTTTGAATTTAGCGAGGCTCTTTTTGTGGCCTAGGATATGGTCCATTCTTGAAAATGTTCCATGTGCACTTGAGAAGAATGTGTATTCTGCTGCTTTTGGGTGTAGAGTTCTGTAGATGTCTCTTAGGTCCATCTGTTGTAATGTGTTGTTCAGTGCTTCATTTGCCTTACTTATTTTCTGTCTGGTTGATCTGTCCTTCAGAGTGAGTGGAGTGTTGAAGTCTCTTGGAATGAATGCTTTGCATTCTATTTCCCCCTTTTAATTGTTAGTATTTCTTTCACATATGTAGGTTCTCCTGTGTTGAGTGCATAGATATTTATAAGTTATATTTTCTTGTTGGATTGATCCCTTTATCATTACATAATGTCCTTCTTTGTCTCTTGTGACTTTCTTTGTTTTGACGTCTACTTCGTCTGATACAAGTACTGCAACTCCTGCTTCTTTCCCTCTATTAGTTGTATGAAATATCTATTTCCATCCCTTCACTTTTAGTCTGTGTATATCTTTGGGTTTAAAGTGAGTCTCTTGTAGGCAGCATATAGATGGGTCTTGCTTTTTATCCATTCAGTGACTCTATGTCTTTTCATGGGTGCATTCAGACCATTTACATTTAGGGAGATAGTCCCTAGGTATGTACTTATTGCCATTGCAGGCTTTAGATTCATGGTTACCAGAGGTTCATGGGTAACTTCCTTACTATCTGAGAGTCTAACTTAACTCACTTAATATGCTATTACAAACACAGTCTAAAGGTTCTTCTTTTTCTCCTCCTTTTTCTTCCCCCTCCATTCTTTATATATTAGGTATCATATTCTGTACTCTTTTGTTTATCCCTTGATTGACTTTAGGGATAGTTCATTTAATCTTGTCTAGTCATTAGCTATTCTACTTTCTTTACTGTGGTTTAACCACCTCTGACGACAGCTATTACACCTTACAAATCCTTCTATCTATAGCAGTCCCTCCAAAATACACTATAGAGACAGTTAGTGTGAGGTAAATTCTCTCAGCTATTGCCTATCTGGAAATTGTTTAATCCCTTCTTCAAATTTAAATGATAACCTTGCTGGATAAAGTATTCTTGGTTCGAGGCCCTTCTGCTTCATTGCACTAAATACATCATGCCACTCCTTTCTGGCCTGTAAAGTTTCTGCTGAGAATTCTGATGATAGCCTGATGGGCTTTCCTTTGTAAGTCATCTTATTTCTCTCTCTGCCTGCCTTTAATAGTCTGTCCTTATCCTTGATCTTTGCTATTTTAATTCCTATATGTCTTGGTGTTGTCTTTCTTGGGTCCCTTGTGTTGGGAGATCTGTGCACCTCCATGGCCTGAGAGACTATCTCCTCCCCCAGACTGGGGAACTTTTCAACAATTACCTCCTCAAAGACACTTTCTATCCATTTTTCTCTCTGTTCTTCTTCTGGTACCGCTGTAATGCAAATATTCTTCAGTTTGAATTGGTCACACAGTTCTCTCAATATTCTTTCATTCTTAGAGATCCTTTTTTCTCTCTGTGCCTCAGCTTCTTTGTATTCCTCTTCTCTATTTTGTATTTCATTTATCATCTTCTCCACCATATCTAATCTGCTTTTAAAACTTTCCATTGTATGTTTCATTTCTGATACTGTGTTTAGTAATGATTAGATCTCCAACCAGTCCTCCCTGAGTTCTTGAATATTTTTCTGTACCTCCATGAGGATGTTAATGATTTTTATTCTGAAATCCCTTTCAGGCAGATTCATGAAGCCAATTTCATTTGAATCTTTCTCAGGGGTTGTATTCATATTCATAATTTTACTCTGAACCAGGTTCCTTTGGCGTTTCGTATTTATATATGGCGCCCTGTAGTGCTCAGAAGCTCTACTCTCTGGAGCTGCTCAGCCCCTGAAGCAATGTTGGGGGTCATAGGGGAGTGGTATTGGTGCCTGGGGGGAGGCAAGAGTGGTTTCCTGCTTCCTGGCTGCTGTGCCTATTTCCACTGCCAGAACCAGTGAGCCAAACACACAGGTATAAGGCTCTATGCTTTGTGTTTGTAGTTGCTGTAGACATGGCTTCCCTCTGGCTGGCCGAATGCAAGGGTTGGGTTTGCCGGTTTGCAAGCCAGGTGGGGCTGGCTGGGAGAAAGGCGCAGTAGGCTGCTTATCACAGAGGTGGTCCTTGGAGCTGTGTAGCCATGCAGGGAGCTGGAGTTCCTGAAGATCGTGAAAGCTGCCAACCTGCTGGGCAGAGTGCACCTAGACAATTTTGTCTGCCTCTCCTTTCTCCTGCACAATAAGCTCTGTGCAATCCTTGGCCCTTTAGCAGCCCTCTTGCTGTTTGGAAGTCTCTCACATTACCCAGCTTTCTTTTGTCCCAGAGTAGCCAGATAGGGATCCCTACTTTCCACAAGCGACTGGAATCTCAGTCAGTCCAAGTATTCTGCCTGTCTTAGCTCTCCAACCCCCTAATCACAAGAGTACCATGAAAACACCATGAAATGTATGTTTGTGCTCCCATATCAGATCTCCAGAGTTAGGCATTCAGCAGTCCCAGGCCTCCACTCCCTCCTTGCTCCTCAGTGGTGACTAACTGCCAGTGAGGTCACATCTCTCTTGGCCTCTTCTTTGAGGCACTGCACCCTGTTAGGCAGGAAAATAGATATGAGTGGGATGGAAAGGGAATAAGGCCAGGAAAAAGCCCACTAAAAATGACCCAAAGTGAATCAGTTAAAGCTCAAAAAGCCAGGACCAACTTGGCCTGGAATGTTTGAATACTCCCCAGAGAAAGGAGGGTACCTCAGCAGAGCCCATGGCTTTATTGTGTTAATCAAGCATGCCCAGCTTATTTTTTTAACTTTACCTACATGCTTTTTTTTCTCCTTTGGCACTAATCAAGTAGTTTGCAATCTGGACAATTAATAATGGCAAGCAAGCCCAGCAAAAACAACATAGTCACAGGCAGGAAGGATTCCATCTTAAAAATAAGATTGCATTTTAATACCCAGGATGTTAAGAAGTAAGACTCTTAACTTACTCTCTAGCAAACAGACAATAACTCAGCCCACCTTGGGGGCCAGGCAGGCAGTCTTGTTTGATATGCTCCCAGACCAAGAAGGCTGGGCTCCCAGGGAGAAATCACAGCAGGAAGTTGCTTGTGTTAAGTTAGTTCTAAGTATTATTCAAAGACCACCTAACAGGTCTGCAACCCCAGCCCTTAGTCACATTCCTGAAGAATCCTTAAAATGGGGAACCCCCAACCTCTAGGGGAGCTCCTCTCCCTGAGGTCACCTGCACTTTCTAAGTGTGTAAACTTTTCACTTTAAACTCTCTCTTTTCAACCTTTCAGTGTGCTCCTCTCTGAGGTTGACTGCACTTTTTCTGTAAGTAATTTTAAATAAAACTTTTCCTCTGCTTCACTGCTGTGTCTCTGCCTTTCAATTCTTTTTTGCAGTGGGGCCAAGGGCCAAGGAAAATACACAACACTCCCCCAGTAACCCAACCCCATCTTCAAGGAATACGCAGGTCACCCTGACTAGAGAGACTTGCGACTTACCAAAGGTTCCAGGTCCAGCAAAGCCCTGGGCACATGCTGAGGATGCCCCAGAGGAGAGGCTGCTGCCTGATGCACCCACTACAGGGGCAGGGGTGTTCTGACCAAAGGTGGGTGTGGATGTGCCTGGAATGGAGAGACCGCAAAGAACTGTGACAACTAGGCCCACAAGAAGAAGGTGTCAAAGCAGGCAGTAATGAACTGGGGGAAGTCTGCTTGCAAATGCATCCCCACAGGATCCCTTAGCCCACACTGATGTCTGGCTCACCCCTCGGTAAGGAAGCACATGGGGTGACTGGGTCCTAACCCCTGTGCTCCACGTGAGCTGGAGCTCACCCCCCCTCTCCACCAGCTGCAGCAGAGCACAAGCCGCTTAGCTGCCCTTTGGCCACCTGAGGAGAACCTTTGCACTCCCTTGGCCACCACAGCACAGCTGAGGGGGACACTGAATGGACCTCCTTTCTCTCATGACTAATGTTATGTCTCTTCCCCATTTGCCTGCTCCTTCTCCTCTAATTCACCACAGCCCCACACCACAGTCAGCCCCCATCCTTCCACAGGCTCACTTGAACTCGATCTCCTGCACATACTTGCCCTCATGGTGCCTCCTGCCCAGTGCTGGGCTACCCTCCACAGTGGCTCTCTGGGAAGATCCTCTCACATGTATCTGTATCTGTCTAGGCCTGAGGTGGGGTGGGTGCCCCCCAAGGTGCTGACCTTGCATGTAATCTTCCCCCCCACCTGGCCTATGGGGGTCGCACCTTATTGCAACCAGGAACTGATCCTCCCCCAGATCTCGGATGTGAGCACAGTGCTGTCCCTGCTCCCGTGCCAACCGCACCCACTCCAGATCCTCTGCCTCATCAGGGCCTGTAGTCAGCCCCCTGCCCCTCCTGCTCCCTGTGCCATTTAACCAGGTTGGGTTTACTCTCTATCCACTTATTTTAGATCCATACCTCAAGCCTGACTGTTGCTGGGCAGACACAACTGTGCTGACCAGCCTTGCTTCAAATTCCTAACCACAATTTCCCAGACTTCAGAACTGCCTGGCACAGCTCTCACATGTCATTTTCTCCCCCTCTCCAAAATGACTACTGAGAGGCCCTCCTTGGTATATATCTCCCCATAAAGCGCTCCAAGGAGCTCTTATATACAGTGAAGAAAATGGAAGCTCCCTGGGCCCAAACTCCTTATCATGCATCTTCCACATGGCAAATAAAATTACTTTCTTTTGCCTGAAATTCTATGGTGACTTCCTTTAGTCCTTTAGCAAAAACATTTTAAAAGGCCATGAATGAACTTCCTTCTGCCTGTCTCTTAATGTCATTTTATCCCACTTTCCTTTTTAAACCTCTAGCCACACCTGGCTGTTCTCTGCTCATGAAAACATTAGGCTCATGTCTGCCTTTCTGCCTTTGCTCCTGTGCCGGCAACACCCTCACTCCCAGCCGCAGTCCCTGCTCCCAACTCTGGAACTATGGCCATGGCCTCAGTTTGTTATTGCCTCAGAAAGGCTGCCCCTGACTACCTAAATAGCTCCTCCGGTCATGAGTTACACGGCTACCTGATGCTGTTTACAGATAACATCTGTGATAACATCTGTCTCTTCACCACAGCGTACAGCTCTGAGAGCAGAGACCGTGTCGACACTTAAAACAGCACCTGACACTGCAGACCGAGCCCATTCCAAATCTCACCTGCAAACACAGACGTGTTCTGAGGCGTACCGGCCACATGGAAGGGAAAGGGTGTGCTCTGGCCAGCTGCACCCAGGGAGTTCTGACTCAGGCCTCCCAAGGAGCCATGCCACCAGTGCTCCCACTCTGTCCTGCGCCAAAGCTGAACACCCCAGTGGTGGAGCTGCTGTGGGAGGCAGCCACACTCATCCCAAAGCCCCCACTCCCAGTGGGGCCTGCTGACACCCTGGATGTGAAGGGCAATGAGATGGTGCTGCCAAACACTGAGCTACTGGTCCCGCTGCTGGTGGTCTTGGTTGTAGCTCCAAAGCCCGAGGTGGTGGCTGCAAAAAAGGAGGAAACATGGATCATTGTCTAACCCCATACACAAAAGTAAATTCAAAATGGATCAATGACCAGAATGTAAGCCATGAAAACAAAACTCTGAGAAAAAAACATAGGCAATAATCTCTTGGACATAAACATGAGCAACTTCTTCATGAATATTATCTCCCCAGGCAAGGGAAACAAAAGCAAAAATGAACAAATGGGACTATATCAAGCTAAAAATCTTCTGTACAGCAAAGGACACCATCAATAGAACAAAAAGGAATCCTACAGTATGGGAGGATATATTCACAAATGACGGATCTGATAAAGGGTTGACATCCAAAATATATAAGGAGCTCACATACCTCAATAAACAAAAGGCAAATAATCCAACTAAAAAATGGGCAGAGGAGCTGAACAGACAGTTCTCCAAAGAAGGAACTCAGACGACCAATAGACATGTGAAAAGATGCTCCACATCACTTGTCATCAGAGAAATGCAAATTAAAACCACAATGAGATATCACCTCACACCAGTAAGGATCACCATCATCCAAAAGACAAACAACAGCAAATGTTGGTGAGGTTGTGGAGAAAGGGGAACCCTCCTACACTGCTGGTGGAAACGTAAATTAGTTCAACCATTGTGGAAATGAATATGGAGGTTCCTCAAAAAGCTCAAAATAGAAATACCATTTGACCCAGGGATACCACTCCTACAGATTTACCCTAAGAATACAGCAGCCCAGTTTGAAAAAGACAGATGCACCCCTATGTTTATTGCAGCACTATTTGCAATAGCCAAGAAATGGAACCAACCTAAGTGTCCATCAGTAGATGAATGGATAAAAAAGATGTGATACATATACACAACAGAATATTATTCAGCCATAAGAAGAAAACAAATCCTACCATTTGCAACAACATGGATGGAGCTAGAGGGTTTATGCTCAGTGAAATAAGCCAGGCAGAGAAAGACAAGTATCAAATGATTTCACTCATATGTGGAGTATAAGAACAAAGAAATATGGAAGGAACAAAACAGCAGCAGATTCACAGAAACCAAGAATGGACTAACAGTTACCAAAGGGAAGGGAGTGAGGAGGATTGGTGGGAAGGGAGGGATAAGGGCAGGGAAAAAGAAAAGGGAGCATTATGATTACTATGTATAATGTGGGGGGGGGGGTCTCACGGAGGGCTGGGCAACACAGAAGACAAGTTGTGATTCTAAAGCATCTTACTATGCTGATGGACAGTGACTGTAATGGGGTCTGTGGGGGAGACTTGGTGAAGGAGAGCACCTAGTAAACATAATGTTCTTCATGTAATTGTAGATTGATACAAAAAAAAAACATTTTAAAAGGCCATGAATGATCTTCCTTTCTGCTTGTCACTTAATGTCATTTTATCCCACTTTCCTTTTTAATCCTCTAGCCACACCTGGCTCTTCTCTGCTCATGAAAACATAAACTCATCTCTGTATTCAGGCCTTTGCTCCTGTGCCTGCAAAGCTCTCACCCCCAGCCGCTGTCCCTGCTCCCAACTCTGGAGCTATGGCCATGGCCTCAATTTGCTATTGCCTCAGAAAGGCTGCCCCTGACTACCTAAATAGCTCCTCCGGTCATGAGTTACATGGCTACCTGATGCTGTTTACAGATAACATCTGTGATAACATCTGTCTCTTCACCACAGTGTACAGCTCTGAGAGCAGAGACCGTGTTGGCACTTAAAACAGCACCTGACACTGCAGACCGAGCCCATTCCAAATCTCACCTGCAAACACAGACATGTTCTGAGGTGTGCCAGCCACGTGGAAGGGAAAGGGTGTGCTCTGGCCAGCTGCACCCAGGGAGTTCTGACTCAAGCCTCCCAAGAAAGGGGCCGTGCTGCCAGTGCTCCCACTCTGTCCTGCGCCAAAGCCGAACACCCCAGTGGTGGAGATGCTGTGGGGGGTCAGGCACGCTCATCCCAAAGCCCCCACTGCCAGCGGGGCCTGCTGACACCCCAGATGTGAAGGTGATGAGATGGTGCTGCCAAACACTTAGCTACTGGTCCTGCTGCTGGTGGTCTGGATCGTAGCTCCAAAGCCTGAGGTGGTGGCTGCAAAAAAGGAGGAAACATGGATCATTGTCTAGCCCAAAACACAAAAGTAAATTCAAAATGGATCAAAGACCTGAATGTAAGCCATGAAAACTGAGAAAAAATCATAGGCAAAAATCTCTTGGACATAAACATGAGAGAATTCTTCATGAACGTATCTCCCCAGGCAAGGGAAACAAAAGCAAAAATGAACAAATGGGACTATATCAAGCTGAAAATCTTCTGTACAGCAAAGGACACCATCAATAGAACAAAAAGGAATCCTACAGTATGGGAGAATATATTCATAAGTGACAGATCTGATAAAGTGTTGACATCGAAAATATATAAGGAGCTCACACACATTAACAAACACAAAGCAAACAATCCCATTAAAAAATGGGTAGAGGAGATGAACAGACAGTTCTCCAAAGAAGGAAGTCAGACAGCCAACAGACACATGAAAAGATGCTCCACATCGCTTGTCATGAGAGAAATGCAAATTAAAACCACAATGAGGTATCACCTCCCACCAGTAAGGATTGCCACCATCCAAAGGACAAAGAACAGCAAATGTTGGTGAGGTTGTGGAGAAAGGGGAACCCTCTTACACTGTTGGTGGAAACGTAAATTAGTTCAACCATTGTGGAAATGAATATGGAGGTTCCTCAAAAAGCTCAAAATAGAAATACCATTTGACCCAGGAATACCACTCCTACAGATTTACCCTAAGAATGCAGCAGCCCAGTTTGAAAAAGACAGATCCACCCCTATGTTTATTGCTGCACTATTTACAATAGCCAAGAAACAGAAGCACCTAAGCGTCCATCAGTAGATGAATGGATAAAGAAGATGTGGTACATATACACAATGGAATATTATTCAGCCATAAGAAGAAAACAAATCCTACCATTTGCAACAACATGGATGGAGCTAGATAGTATTATGCTCAGTGAAATAAGTGAGGCAGAGAAAGACAAGTACCAAATGATTTCACTCATATGTGGAGTATAAGAACAAAGAAAAATGGAAGGAACAAAAGAGCAGCAGAATCACAGAACTCAACAAAGGACTAACAGTTACCAAAGGGAAAGGGACTGGGGAGGATGGGTGGGAAGGGAGGGAGAAGGGTGGAAGAAGAAAGCCAGACTTATGATTAACATGTATAATGAGGGGGTGGGCATGGGGAGGCCTGTGCAACACAGAGAATACAAGTAGTGATTTTGCAGCATCTTAATACACTGATGGACAGTGACAAATGGGGTATGTGGGGGGGACTTCGTGAAGGGGGGAGTCTAGTAAACATAGTTCTTCATGCAATTGAAGATTAATGATAACAAAATTTAAAAAAAGGAGGAAGGAGCTGTGGTGCTGCCAAAGGCTAGCTTGGTGCAAGAGGGGGTGCCAAAGAGAGGCAGCGGGTTTCAACCCATGAAAACCTGACCACACAGCACTGCCAAAGGCTGGCTACGGTGGAGCCAGGGCTGCTGATCTTCCAAAAGGCAAGGAGCTGCCAAAGCTGGAGGACAGGGCTGGCTTGGCAGCCCCCATCTGCTGTCCATCAGTGGCCCCGAACATGGGCTGTGGGGTGACTCCAGGATAGGAAGGAATGGGGGGCCTGGTGCCAGAACCAAAGGGAATGTTGAAGGCTGGGGTGGCAGTGCTGCTGAATGTCAGTGCAGGCTGGCTCGGGGTGATAGGGGCGGAGGTCATGAGGGTGCCACCGAAGCCACCAAAACTGGCAGTACTGCTGCCAGCAGCTGTCTGGACAACACCAGGCAGGGACTGGCCGAATGTGATGGCTGTTGTTGGAGCAGGTGTGGCCAGTGCCTTGTCAAACTGGAGTATGGAGCCCATGGCTGGGGTAGAGCTGGCCCCAGAGGCAAGAGGGTGACCAAAGGGAACAGGCTGGGCAGTGGAAGCAGTGGGGCTGGTCATGCTGCTCGCAGTGCTGGTCACACTGCTCACACCAAAGCCAAAGACAGGCTTCCGGGCGGAGTCTGCGGTTGTGCTGGTGGTGGTCCCCCAAGCCGCTGCTGAGGGGACGCTGACACTGGCCTGGCCAGGGAACAGAGGGGCATTTGTGCAAGTGCCTGAAGTAGTCTGACTGAAGGAGAAAGGAGTTGACAAGGGCAAAGATGTAGGTAGCCCTGTGCTGCTAAAAACAGGATTGAAAGTGAGGGGAGGCTGCTGGTAGCCGGGGTGTGGGCAGAGCTGGAAGATGCCTCCGTTGTGACTTGGGAATGGCTGAATGGCACAGGACCCTCATTCCCACTTTTAGGTGGAGCCACAAAGATGGGCTTGAACATGGGACGTGCTGAAGACACAGCAGGAGCTGCCGAGGCAGAAGGTTTAGCAGGTGGGCTGCTCGGTGTTCTAAATGGAACACTGGGCTTCAGGGTGGGGCCTGGGGCAGGCGGGGCCTGGGGTTTGGCAGATGTCTCAGCCTGAGAGGGCGGAGGTGACTTGGTGGCATCACAGGCTGGTATTGCAGGAGAGGCAGGGGTCAGCCCCGAGAAAGTGGCTGTGGACCTGGAGTCTGAGGAGGGCCGGGGAGGGACCCTGGCTGTGAAGAACCAAGAGGGCCCAGAAGGCCTGGTGTCATCAGGGGCGAACAGGCATTGGGGGTGGCTGTCAGACAGGAAAATACATATGAGCAGGGTGGAAAGAGAACAGGGTCAGTAAAGCCCCCTAGAAAGGTTAACCAGTTAAAACTAGAAATCCAGAAAAGACTCAGAGTTAGTGAGTTAATCTGTTAAAGCTCAGAAGTTCAAGAGAAACTTGGCCTTGAAGGTTTGAGTATTCCCCAGATAAAAGTATCTGAGCACAGCCGATGTTTTCATTGTGTCCATTAGATCCTTGTAAGGTTTACTCTAGCCTGCTAAAAGGCCCACCTATAAACAGCAAAGTAAAGACAGGGAGATGCCACCTTAAAGCCAAAATTGTATTTTGAAAAAAAACCAGGAAGTTTCAGAAGAAAGATTCTTAATATACTCTTTAGCAAACAAATAACTCTGTCCACCTTGGAGGAAAGGCAGACCATCTTGATAAGTTAATTGTGCAGAATTACTTAGAGGACAGATGAGTAACTTAGCGTCTCATCAAAGATACCTGAGACCACTTCACAAGCCCACACCCTAGCCCTCTGTCACATTCCTGAAAAATCCTTAAAAGGGGGAACCCCCAACCTTTCACTGCGCTCATATGTGAGGTCACCCATACTTTCTAAGTGCATAACCTTTTAACTTTAAACTCCCTCTTTTCAACCTTTCAGGGTGCTGCGCCCCTCTCAGGTCGCCTGCACTTCCTAAGTGCATAACTTCAACTCTTCCCAACCTTTCAGGGCGCTCCTCTATCTGAAGTCACCCACGCTTTCTAAGTGTGTGACCTTTTACTCTTAAACTCTTTCTCTCCAACCTCTCAGGGCGCTCCTCCCTCACTGAGGTCACCTGCACTTCTTTCTCGCTAAGTAACTTTAAATAAAACTTTTCCTCTGCTTCACTACTATGGTGTCTCTGCCCTTCAATTCTTTGTCACAGCGAGGACAAGAACAGAGGAAAATACACAATGCCTCCCCCCCAACATTGCCACTGCAGCAGATTCTAGGAAGAAGAACAGAAAATGTCAACTATGGTATCTCAAACGTGATGGTATTTGGTGCTCTAGAAGCCTTGCTGGGCCAGGGATTCAGGAGTCAACAAATATTACTAATCGATACCACCTGTTCTTAACATACTCCTTCCTCAAAATCAAGGAAGTGCTCCTTATTTCTACCCTACACAGATCATCAGACAGTCAGCAGGGGATAAAACTTGGCCTAGCAGGGGTTAAATGTGTAGACAGACACCAAGGAAAATCTAATCATCTGAACCCAAGCATGGCTCAGAGCAGCTAAGGAATGGGGCTGCAAACCAACAGCCATCTGACTACCAAACGGAGGCTGCCTTCTCTAGCTTTAAGGGCGGCAGGCCCTTCCCTACAATCTGCTCCTGATGAGATGGTTCTGGAGCCGTCAGGCCTGCACCAGCTCAGGTGTGCTAAGCCAGAGCAGCTTCAACCTTTTTAGCGACTGACTGGCATGCTGCTTTCACGTTAGCCTACGCAGAGGCTGATGGCCCTGTGTGCTCCACAGAAAGCACTCCCGCTCACCTGGGAAAGATGGTAGGCCCAGGGGGTTCGGGTTCCTCAGGAAGATGATGTACTTGGGGAGAAACTGTGGGTTAGTCAGTGGGGCTGGGGGTGAGGCTGAGGAAGCAGCAGTCCCAGCAGCGGGCAGGACGAGAGTTGAAGCCGGTGGAGTGGCAGGGGGGCTCTCCGTGATGGAGCTCGAGGCCGTTTCAAAGGAAAAAAGAAAGAAAGGATTGTCCTCCCTGGTAGGAGAATTCTTTCCAGGGGCATCACAGAGCACGGGAGGCTCAGGGACTTGGGGGAACTCACGTGGAAATGCTTCCTCTCAATCTCAGTGCTCACTGTGCTCGGAGTCCACTGAGAACCCAAGAGGTGGATTTCTCAGAGGAGAAAGACCAAAAGACCAAAGGGAACACATGCCACGCGTTCATCAACATACCCTGTTCTCCCTGGGACTCCTTGTCTACCGGCAGAGCCGAAGAGCCAGCTTCCTGAGAAACGTCCTCTTCTCTGTAGGAGGAAGAGACACAATTAAGTTTAGAAAAGTGCTGGATAACTTCTTACACCCTCCTAACTACCAACTGACCAAAGTCTAGAACCGTGACTAAGATCTCAGTGTGTCAAGACAACAAAAAGAAGCAAAGAAAATTCCTAAAGAAATGAAGGGAGGCAGTTCACAGTAGCCACAGAGACACCTTTGTCTTAAAACAAGCAGGAAACAATCTTCAGAACCTTACATACAACCTGCCAAGTTTCTGAGAGTCCTAGTCACACCTCTATCTCTAAGAAAGCGGCATTCTAGTCGGGCACCTAGGGGGTCAGCTGGGGTCTAGAATGTGAAGCCTGCTGCCCACCCCCATCAGTCACTCTGTTCACTCTGTCCCATGCAAGCCCTTCCCCTTATGCTGCAGCCCCTCATACTGCAGCATGAGGGGGAGCAGAGGCTGGTGTGGTCACTGTGTGATGACTGAAAAAGACAGAGCGATTCAGGGAGGCACTGTCTCTGCCCTTTAGATGTGAACTGTTTTGATTCTCCAAATTGGAGTCTCAGAAAGCCTAAGAGCCAAGTAAATTTCCCTCCTTTCCCACCCTCTCATTAATCCACACAGCAAATCACCGATTACCTTATTTTCTTTGCTGGCCTCTCTGGTGTCTGTGAGCGGGATGAGGCTGGGCTGGAGAAGGGTGAGGCACTGGGACGCCGCCTCTTCCAGAGCTAAAAGCCAAACACAAATCGCGTGACTGACCCTAAGGAATAACGTAGGATCTGACCTTCAACATAATTCTGTGGCTCTAATCCATCACTGTATATAAAGTCTCCTTTTAAAACATTTCTTTGTTAAGTGGGGCTTCTGAAAAGTGAGTCAATTGCCAGTATTTAAAAGGGCCGTCATTGGCCAAAGTTGGACAAGTTGCATCAGAAAGAGCAGCTATACTATACTGGGGATCATGAAATGTTTATAAAATATTAGTTCATAAAGATAACACAGCAAGAACCTCACTGGTCACCTTTGGATTAGCTACGGCATCACTGCCTGCTTATTCTCCTGCCACTCCTATAGGTAGGGCTTGTTCTTCTATTTAGAATTACATAGACCTAATGCAGAGGGAAGGACAGAATTAGAATATCACCATTTTGCCACAATGAACATAGACAAAGGTGATAAATGGCTGCTAAAATCAGCAGGTGAAAAGCTCATAGGAACAATAAATGGAAGGATCAGACTGACCCCTGAGCCCAGTGGAAGGGAACCACACAGCACGTGCTCCCGATGTGATGCGATAAGAAGTGCACAGCAGCACCTCTGCCCGAATCATTGAACTTGAAACTCATCAAAGCTCAGGAGCCAACTGCCCATTTACGGGGAAAATAGGGATAGAGTACTTGTCAAAATGGCACCATGATGACGAAAACCAAATCCAAAATGTAGAAAATTCTATACAACATAATGACAGACTTCTCCAAAGTAAGAAGAGCGTAGTGGTAGTACCGTAGATTAAGAGTCTAAGAGAGGCCCGACGTCCCCGCCACGGGGGAGGGCGCGCGGCCGCCTCCCCAGCCCGTGTGCTCCGCGCCTGCGGCGGCGGCGGCGGCAGCGGCGGTGGCCGCGGGGACAACGCGCCCTCGGTTCCCCGCGGGGGGGAGCCTGACAGCTGGAGGCCGCCAGGGGGCGCCGGCCGCGCGGGCCCGGAGAGCCCGGGGAGGCGGCGCTGTCAGGACGGCGACCTGCCGCCTGCGGCTCCTCGGGCGGGCCGTGGCGCTGGAAGCCGGGGCCCGTCACCCAGGGAACCCGGCGTCCTGGCGAGGTCCGCGCGCCCCGGGGTGTGTCTGGCGCGCCCCCAGTATTGAGGAGGGGTTCTGCCACCGCGGGGAGCTCGCCGGGCCGGCCTGAGCAGAGCGCCCGGGGAGGCAGAGGCCCCGGGAACGCGCGCCTCCCGCGGCCGTCCCCGCAGCCGCCCGCGACGCGGGGGCGGCTCCCCACGCGTCTGCGCTGTGGGCCGTGAGAACGCGGTCTTCGCCCCCGGGGGACCTGCGGGCGGCGGGGGCGCGACGCTCGCCCCGGCCCCGGAGCCCCGCCCCGCCCCCGGCGCTGCGCCCTGAGCATCCTTGCTCTGCCCAGGCCTGTTAAAAAGTTGAAGATTATTTTTAACCCTGCCTGCTTGTTAGGCCGTCAGATACAGCCTTGTATAATGCTAAATCTGAAGCTCTGAGTGTGAATTAAGTCCCCTGAAATGTAAATGACGGTACTTATTTCAAATAATAGTAATTGGTAGCACTTCTGGAATGTTTACTATGGATGGTGTAGACTCTTGAACACTTTACATGTACTGCCTCACAACTATCTTATGAAGTAGGTCAAAATCATTATTTCCATAAGTGTACAACCTTACCTTCAGATTTTTTGTTACATATATTAATTAAATACCTTTAATGCTCAAAAAAAAGAGTCTAAGAGACATGTGAACCAAATGCAATGAGTTGATTTTTGGTCCCTGATTCAAAGTAACTGTAATAGACAGGGAGGGTAGGAAGGGCAAATTGGAGCGAGCGTGTACCTGAGAGATGCCTCCAGTGGAGCTGTATGAACTGGTAATGGCATTGCGGCTGGACATACGGATGCCATGTGTGCACGTGGCCTTCAAGCAGCTCACAGCAGAGGTGGAGGGTCTCTCATGCAACTCGCTGTCTGAGCTCTGGGAACTGAGGCTGCTCTTCAGAGGCTCAGGCCTAACAGGGAAATAAAAGGGGAAAACACAGATGTGCTACTGAAAGGCATCAACATTGTTTTAAGGCTTCATCCACAGTCACAAAATCGTTCTAACGTAATGGAAAAGGATAATGTTCATTTTACTGTTAATTCAGCTAAACATGTGTCACAAAGTCAGAAAGGGAAAGCTCAGTATTTTAAAAATTAAACGTATGATTCTACTTACGTATACTCTAGGAAACGCACACAAATCTATAGTGACAGAATGGGGACCAACAGATGCCTGGCAACAGGGGCAGGATGAGAGGGAGGTTTTAAGGCTCCACCAAGGGGCACGGGGAAACTTCTGGCAGTGATGGTGATGTTCATTAACTTGACTGTGGGGATGGTTTCGTGGGTGTGAAATTTAGACAAAATAGTTATTGTGGCAAGTTACTCAAAATGTTCCTCTCTGATTTCAAAGAGGAAAATTTATAGGACAATAATTCTGATAAGGATACATGTCAAAATTGATCAAATTGTACACTTCAAATAGGCACAGTTTATTTTTGTCAATTATACCTCAGTAAAGGTGTTAAAAAAAATTTAGGAGGAACCAACCCCTTTTTCTAAGATTCAAACTGAAACAAATTCCCTAACCATCTTTCCTGTGAAATAGTCATCCAACCGTTGTGCCAGCACAGACAGCTCGCTCTCTCCTGGCTCATGAATGTCAACCACAGAGCAGTTTATCCCTGCACTAGAGGCAATCCTACTTCCTCTTTCACTTACTTCGCCTATGGATCCCACCTGGAGCCAAGCCAAGCCAATTGTCCTCCTTTCATGTGATAGTCCTTCAGATTTTTGCAGGCCATTATCCTTCCCTCCCTCATTTCCTTATGCCCCTGAGGTTTTCCTCCTCTGGGCTAGTGCTTATGTACCTTTAGAACCCCCTCACCCACCACCACCCCGTGACATCTTGAGTTGCTTCACTCTCTCGCAGTGAATTTCCTTGGTGTCTGCCTCCTCTTGCAGGGCAGCACAGCCAACCAGCAGCGCCCCGCGGACAGCAGGACTAAGGCATTCAGGACCACCACTGACTGTCGGCTTTTCTCTAGTACTTATGGAAAAGGAATACTACAAAATGCATGTAACCTGTGCCTAACGAAAGGCATGGCATTAAAGCTCTTGTTACCAAGCTCTTCCATGAGAGCCGAAGAAGGGGACCTGCTGTTCACACACAGGAGGTGGCCTCTGATTCTTCTGGGGAGTGATCTCTCTTTCAACAAACCCCAGGAGCCCGTGTGGGAGGCGCGTTAAGTACTCTGCAGGGCATGTTACCTTGTTTTATCCTCCTGACCAGCAGCAGATGTTTGGTCTTCCTCCTCCTCCACTGTCCTTTTCTTCCTCTTCCAACGTTCGAGGGCAAGCAGAACAGCCTCCTTTGACCACGGGTCTGGGGCCTTAGGGATCTGCGCTGCTCTGTAACAGAAAACAGGATTCTTGCATTAAGATATTCTGATTATCATGCTCCATAGCATGAACTTCAGGCGCTGGAAATCAGAAGCTATCCAACAAGCAAAAGGGTAATTTATACACTCACACAAATGGCCCTTAGCTGTTAAGCTACAGTCTTGGGAAAAACCCAGAAAATAAAAAACTGCTCAATAACTAGAACTTGAGATTTCTCCTTCACATAAGGAGCTTCTTCCTTTCCTTTGAGTTACAGTTATTCTGTCAGATGAACAACTGCAAGAGAATAAAGTGGACACACTGGGAGTCTTTTCCTTGAGAAATGCTCACATTGGCAAACGAGCCAGGTTGCTCCCAGGAGGAGCAATCCTCACTGTCGAAGGCCTGCATACCACTCTGGAATTACCAGGAGACAGCACACACTTCCTGTGACCGCCATTCCAGCACAGCTTGGGAAGCACATGGGAATACCGGGCCTGCTGGATTCGGTATCGTCTTGGAGGTGTTATGCCAAAGTGGTGTGATAAAGTCCCACAGTTCCTGTGGAGAATGGGAGACACATTATGGAATCAAAGCAGCTTAGAAGAATGACAGAAAATTTAAATTACTTAAGAACCATGCGGGTTCAGTTATTTTCCAGAGAGCTTAAGCCTCTAAGTAACACAAAACATAGCATTTTTATGGCAACTTTCCCTATTCCACCTAAGGGCAGAAAGTGGCAGGTACTTAACAGCTGTCCCTGCAATGGATTCAACAACGTTGAAGGGGAAATTGAAAAACTGCCCACATAAGTAAAACTATAGTGGAAGAAAAGTGTGCATAAGGACTTGCAGGGACAAAGTTTATAAGAATCCTTCAATCTCATATGCTAAGTCATCAGAAATATACTTTAAAAGGTTTGACTTTAAAAAGTCAAACATTTCAAAAATCTGAATGTTCACCTTTTCAAATAAATGTACTTATCAAGGATCTAGGATTGTCACTGAAGTTTTGAATTTTCTTATCACTCAGCTACTGGGACTAAAGGAGAACACAAGTCTTTTTAATCTAATCATCTTTATCAGCCAAGTTCTACCAATCCAGGAGGTTTCCTCTTTGAGCTCGGCCGATACAATGTATTGGTCCAAAGATAAAAAAGTAACAAAACCTAGTATAGTAATATACTTTACAGACAGACAGTATTCTCACCTGAAGCAGGGATATTTTAAGTGATTTACCAAGCCAAGTATTCTGCTAAACCCATACTGTATTAAAGTTCAGAGCTTTAAGAACTGAAAGAAGGATTTGCAACAACATGGATTGGGTTAGAGGGTATTATGCTCAGTGAAATAAGCCAGGCAGAGAAAGACAAGCATCAAGTGATTTCACTCATCTGTGGAGCATAAGAACAAAGAAAAAACTGAAGGCCCAAAACAGCAGCAGACTCACAGAACCCGAGAATGGACTAACAGATACTAAAAGGAAAGGGACTGGGGAAGGTGGGTGGGAAGGGAGGGAAAAGGGGAACTAGGGGCATTAGGATCAGCATACATGATGTAGGGGGATGGGCACGGGGAGGGCAGTATAGCACACAGAGAAGTCAAGTAGTGACTCTATAGCATCTCCCTATGTTGATGGACAGTGACTGTAATGGGGTATGAGGGGGGGACTTGATAATGGGGGGAGTCTAGTAACCACAATGTTGCTCATGTAACTGAACACTAATGATACCAAAAATAATTAAAAAGTAAAAATAAAAGGAATAGAAAAATGACCCCAAAAAAAAGAACTGAAAGAAGGGAACAGTTCTGGCAGCACATCTCTTAGCAAAAGCAAAAGGGAGGCAGGACACGGTGGACGCGCACCAAGGTGTTTGAAGAAGTGAAAAGAGCACAGATCCCACTTAGGAATTAAGAAAAAAAACCGTCAACGTCAAGTCGTCGTTCTGGGGAGAGTCAGCGTGTCTTACCAGCGGGAAGGCCTCCGAGGGGACCCGAGGAAACGAGTGGGGACTGAAGGCTGAATGGGATCTGGGCGAGCCGAGGGAGCCGTCGGGGCGGGGCTTGCCGGGCGGGAGGGGCTTGCGAGGAAGGCCGGGCGCGGGCGCCGGCGCCTGGCCTCCGGATCGGGGGCGGGCTGCGGGGGGCGGGGCTTGCTCAGAAATCCTCCCATTTGGAGCGACGAGCGAGCTCTGTCCGGCGGGCGAGCGGCTTCCGCGGCTCTCTCTGCCAGACTGCCTGCCTTCGCCAGTGCGCCTGGGCTAGAGGCGGGCGGGCATTGTGCGCTGGCGGGCATTGTGCGCTGGCGGGCCTTGTGCGCTGGCGGGCCTTGTGCGCTGGCGGGCCTTGTGCGCTGGCGGGCATTGTGCGCTGGCGGGCCTTGTGCGCTGGAGGGCCTTGTGCGCTGGCGGGCCTTGTGCGCTGGCGGGCCTTGTGCGCTGGGGGGCATTGTGCGCTGGCGGGCCTTGTGCTCTGGCGGGGCGCGCTCCCAAGTTCCCGGGAGACGGCGCACGAATGGCAGGCAGCTCGGGGCTCGCAGCTCAGGACACCCCCTCCCCCAGGCCGCGGTGACCACCCCCAGCCAGATCGGCCAGCGCGGCCGCCACGGGCACCAGGTTCTCAGCACTAGACCCGTTGGCGAGACAGCAAAAAAGAAAAAGGAAAAGGAAAAGCACTGAAGTGTTTCATAAAAGTCAATTGGTACAATGTGAACTTTTTTTCTTTTTCATTAAGGTATCATTGATATATTACACTGCTCTGAAGGTTTCACAAGAGAAACCATGTGGGTACTACATTCACCCATATCATCGAGTCCCCCCCATACCCCATTGCTGTCGCTGTCCATCAGCATAGCACCGTGACACGGAGTCCCTACTTGTCTTCTCTGAGCTACACTTTCTTCCCCGTGACCCCACACACAATGTGCACCAATCATAATACCCCTGAGTCCTCCTCTCCCTCCCACGCCCCTTCCCTTTGGTAACCTCTAGTCCCCTCTTGGAGTCTGTGAGTCCGCTGCTGTTTTGTTCCTTCAGATTTGCTTTGCATTCATACTCCACAAATGAGGGAAATCCTTTGGCACTTGTCTTTCTCCGCCTGGCTTATTTCACTGAGCATAATACTCTCTAGCTCCATCCATGTTGTTACAAATGGTAGGATTTGTTTTCTTCTTACGGCTGAATAGTGTAACATTTTGTATTTGTGCCACCTCTTCTCTATCCATTCATCTACTGATGGACACTTAGGATGCTTCCATATCTTGGCTGTTGTAAATAGTGCTGCAATAAACAGACAAATGGTATCCTCACCTGAAGCAGGGATTTTTTAAGTGATTTACCAAGTATTCTGCTAAACCCATACTGTATTAAAGTTCAGAGCTTTAAGAACTGAAAGGATTTGCAACAACGTGGATTGGGTTAGAGGGTATTATGCTCAGTGAAATAAGCCAGGCAGAGAAAGACAAGTATCACATGATGTCACTCATCTGTGGAGCATAAGAACAAAGAAGAAACTGAAGGCCCCAAACAGCAGCCGACTCACAGAACCTGAGAATGGACTAACAGATACCAAAGGGAAAGGGACTGGGAAGGGTGAGTGGGAAGGGAGGGACGAGAGGAATAAGGGGCATTAGGGTCAGCATACATGATGTAGGCGGGGAGCACGGGGAGGGCAGTATAGCACACAGAGAAGTCAAGTAGTGACTCTAGAGCACCTCCCTATGCTGATGGACAGTGACTGTAATGGTTGATGAGTGGGGGACTTGATAATGGGGGGAGTCTAGTAACCACAATGTCGCTCATGTAACTGAACACTAATGATACCAAAAATAATTAAAAAGTAAAAATAAAAGGAATAGAAAAATGACCCCAAAATAAAAGAACTGAAAGAAGGGAACAGTTCTGGCAGCACATCTCTTAGCAAAAGCTAAAGGGAGGCAGGACACGGTGGACGCGCACCAAGGTGTTTGAAGAGGTGAAAAGGGCACAGAACCCACTTAGGACTTCAGAAAAAAAAACTGTCAACGTCAAGTCCTCGGTCTGGGGAAGGTCAGCGTGTCTTACCAGCGGGAAGGCCTCCGAGGGGACCCAAGGAAACGAAAGGGGACTGAGGGCTGAATGGGATCGGGGCGGGCCGAGGGAGCCGTTGGGGCGGGGCTTGCCGGGCGGGCGGGGCTTGCGAGGAAGGCCGGGCGCGCGAGTGGGCCCCGGCGCCTGGCCTCCGGATCCGGGGCGGAATGCGGGGGGCGGAGCTTGCTCAGAAATCCTCCCATTTGGAGCGACGAGCGAGCTCTGTCCGGCGGGCGAGCGGCTTCCGCGGCCCCGTCTGCCAGACTGCCTGCTTTCGCTAGTGCGCCTGGGCTAGAGGCGGGCGGGCATTGTGCGCTGGCGGGCATTGTGCGCTGGCGGGCATTGTGCACTGGCGGGCATTGTGCGCTGGCGGAGCGCGCGCCCAAGTTGCTGGGAGACGGCGCGCGAATGGGCAGCTCGAGGTTGATGCATTGGATGTGAAAGCTATGTCACTAGTAAGTGTCCACATCTGTCATGAGTTTACGGGGTCAATAATACAACGTTTAAAGAGGTAGTGTAAACGAAAGCAACTGAATATGCTATATAGGAAAGAATGTACTTCAATTAAGTCCTAATGCCTTAGTCTTCCATTATTACAAATATATAAATGACTTAAATGCCCCTATTTGAGAAAAGTGTATTTTTTCCCTTAGATGTGGTAAACGCAAGTGCCTCTGGGTTCTCCAGATATTTAGTAAGGCTAAAATCGAAAAGATATACTCCATTTTATTTCCCTTGGACACAAATAAGTCCCTCCCATCATGTTTGGCCAATAGCAATGCACCATCTCTGTCTTGCTTTCTGCTCATACCCATTGGCTGACTGGCCCTATGAGCCACACTAACTTTAAAGGTGGTTATACAATTCTCCCAGGAGTCCCAAGGGTCAGCACACAAAATTAACCCTAGCCAATGGAACTTTTTTGCAATGCCTAAGAACACAGAATGTGGAAACTAGTCGTGGTTAAGAGATCACCTAGGGCCAGAGTGCCTGGATTAGAATCCTGGCTCCATCATTCAATAACTGGGCAATTTTGGGGCAAATTACTTAATTTCCATGGGCCTCAGTTTCTCTTCTATAAAACAGGGAAAATAATGACATTATGCACAACTGTTATAAAAACTCAAATTATTCCCTTAAGCAAACACTACAGATCCACAGGCACATGAAAAGCATTCAATAAAAATGTTGTGTACAACAGCTTAACTCCTCTCTGGCTTGGCAGCTCGTTACTCAAAAGTTGAGATGATTGACAATACTGTGCTACGTGTTCTGAGTTTTCAACCTTTACATCACTTTTCAAAGTGAAACATATTAAGCCACTAAAAACAAATTCAGAAAAATTGCAAGATCTTTCTATTTACTTGCATAACTTTGAAGAAAGTTCAGCTACTAAATATAATGATTTGAAAGAACAGATTTTTCCTAAAACTCAATTTAAGACTATTTTAATACAAAAGAATAATAGTAGCCAACATTTGTGTACCTGCCACTTGGTATGCACTTGATATAAGTTATCTCATTTAATCTTCACAATAACTGAAGGAGAGACAAGTACTCTCAGTAACTGAGTTTTATAGATCTAAGGACAACTTGGATTGAAAGAAGTTACAAATCTCTAGGTCATAGGGTTGGCAAGCAGTTGACCTGAGTATTCACTGAATCCATCTGACTCCATGTAACCTTAGGAAGTACTTATTTAGTTTCTAGGCCTCAAGTCTTTCCATCTGCAAAATACAGATAATTATAATACCGTCTTCACAGAATCTTCATAATGTGAAAATGGGTTAGTATATGCAGACTACCAGCACTGTATTAGTTATGGTAATTCTGGCCAAGTTGAGAGCATTGGTGACCAAGATTTCTATGGAAGAAATGACCTATCAGAAATGGCAGTGACAGTGTGGGAAAAGTCCCATCTCACTTCCTTCATAAATGGTCACACACACTACAGATTGGCAGAGGAGAGTTTACACTCACCATAAGCCCACCAGTGTGGAGAACGAAGATCGGGACTGATTTGTCAGCATGTGTAGGAGACCTTCTGACTCCTCAACAGCCTTGTAGTGGCTACGAGGAATGGAAGAATATGTACTTTTTCAATAGACTGGAACTGGAACCAAATAAATTTTGGTGCAAGTATAATATGGTCTGAGGTCATCTGCGTCACAGATATTTTATGACAACTTAATCAATCCTACTAATGAAGAATTCATCCATCTCCTTTATGTAAGCTTATTGCCAGAATGTACCAGCTATCCAAGATGAAGAATTAACAAACACAGTCCCAAGGAACAGCAGAGCATTACTAAGCCCAGTATATATAACCCAAAAAGCCAGCAGCATTGCTTAATGGGATATGTTTAATGTGAAAGGAAACCACTAGAGATAATGTAAAACATCAAATGGCCTGAAGTGGCAGTGAAATTATTCAACTCTTGGACTGGAGGAGCTCTTAATCAGGGCCCCTGGAATGCTGCAGCAATTTAATAAGTTTAAATTCGTTTCACTTGGATAGATCCAGATTTGTGTTGCAGATGTTATCCCACTCAAATCTCCATACAGGTTCATCAAAAAGGGGATCATGCCTAAGGAATCTGTAGAAATTTAAAAAGAAATTAACTCCAAAGCTTGAGTCGGGAAAAGGAGATACGTTTCAGATAGAAAAGCTTACTAGAATAAGCTTGTCTAGTGTGTTGATTTTAGACAAAATAAAAATATCACTAATGGTGAAGATCATTGGATTTTGTTTTATTAAATTTACTACATTATAACAAGCTAACATAAATATGTTAAGTACATACACTTGAAACAAAATAAAAATCAATACATTTAAAATTAGTAAATGGAAGTGGATTCAGTAAAGATGCACACACAATAAGAAATGTATGGAGTGTACACGTAATTTTAAAACTTAGTCTTTTGTGCAAAAAAGAGACCAGGTGATTTTTAGGGGTTAGAGGTTCTGCACAAGCAATCTTGGCCCTTTAAGCTGTAGAACAAAAACAAGTCACATCTATACTTCTAAACTAAAATAGGATTTTAAGTGCCTATAATGATGTGTAAAGTCACTCATCTCACCTCCAAGGGGAGAACACTGAGCAGGGCAACAATCAGGTGCTTGATTATTCATCAGCATTGCCAATGTTTTTACAAAGTAGAAAATACACTGAGCAATTGCCCATATTTTCTCACTTTCACAAAAGCATTTGCTAAGTGCCTATTAAATGAATATAACTAATCATGGTATATGTGTGGAAACTGCATAAATACATCAAAATTCAAATCACCACTCCATTCAACCCGAAAAATCCAGCAGGTGGTCTGAAGAACATTTAAGAACAACTAATCTATGATATAAACATTTAAACATTCTTACAGA